TAAACTTATTTTTATAGCCTTCTTTGATACTAGTAATAATGAACAGCTAATCATTTATTATAAATGTTTCACAGTTTAATATCACATTCAAGCTCCTAAAAAAACGTAAGAATAATATCATCTGCTTTTCTCATTTTATCACTGTAAGCTTTGATCAAATTAGGGAAATCAATTAAATGGAATTATAATAGCATATATGTCCTTCCTTGTATGCATTTAAATTATTATTTTTTACTAAAATGATTTTTAAAGTGTCTCAATTCAGTCCGTTGATGACAACAATGGTTTGATTTTATTCATTGTCTTGAAAGGGTTCTTTCGAGAAATTAATTTTTTTCTTAACTTGATTAAGTTGATTGATTTAATTGAATCAGAAATCCATCAATGAACAATAGGATTTTGTAATGTTGTAATTACTATGAAAGAGGAAGATTGTTTGTTCCCTTGACTTGATAAAGTATTAAAAAGGAGTTGAAAAGAATATTTTTCTAACGGATCAACTTGAACTGCACGTAAAATTGAGTTGCTAGGGCGTTTCAATGATTCTCTTAACTTTCTTGGAAATATTTTTATTGACATAAAAAAACCGTTATTTACATGGTCAAATGGAGAACAATACGTGTAAATTCACGGTCAAACAAAGAGAACAAAATAAAATAGACACGAGAAAAAGAAGGTTTCTCCCGCTGCAAACGAAAATAAAAAGGATGACACAAAATTAAAACTTGCTTGTACTTTCTTTTTTTTATTTGTAAATAAAGAGTAAACACGCGGTAATAACCTTTATCTTATTTTATACAATGCGTTAATGAAATGACATTCCTCTTTCAGGTTAAACTTTTGAACATTTTTGATCTGATTTTGGTGAAAGGCGTTTTGTATAATAACACGCACTCGAACCTTTGTTGAACGTTACTGAAAATATGGATTTGCTAATCCGTGTATATATAATAAATGACGATTCGTGTATGATTTCATAGTTTCATTGGCGTTGTAAACTTTTAAGGAAATAATGTAAACTGAAAAGGTTCAAGTGAGTCGATACTAAAAATGGGGAACAAGGTGTGAGAAAAAAAGAAAATTCGATCAAAATAAAAAATAAAATAAATGCAATGAAAATGATGAGAAAAATAAAACAAAAATGCATTTAATATCTGATTGCATTTCGCAAATCCTGTCAGAAAGAAACGCGTAATCCTTTCTTCATACATCGTTATACAAACACACGTCAAATCCGGTAAATCCGTCTATGCACACCCAAGAGAAACAAAATGGCTGATCCGTTTTAACGCAGCTCATTTCATCAATCAATACCTTGAACGTGTGTAACTAGATTGCAATGGTTAGTATAACTCGAGTCTCATAAATAATGTCAGATGGGAAGAGAAATCCTAATTCTGGAAAACAAAAGTATAATTGAATTAAATATCACTCGAAATTAAACCGGGGTGACGAAGGCTTAAACGCATTCGTCTGTTGCTGCGGATTTATCACGGCCCAATCAATTCAAAGTGACAATTGTGCACACAAAACAGGAAAAAAAAAGGAATTTAACAAACAAACAAAAGTCATTAATACTAAACTCGGATAAGCCGAGAGATAGACATGCTATGCATTTAGTCAATATGTTTAATTGTTCTTTGGTCTTTAATCCATTACCAAATTCTGATAGTGGCTTATATTGTTCTTTATATTATGAACCACACTTTATTTTCTGTATAATATGACCGTTATTCTGGTGGACGTTAATTGGAGAATAATATTATGTCGGTCACGCGCAGCAAAATGTTCATTCAAATGAAATTGTCCCCAGAATTCCCATCAATTTCCCATTCAGCAAAAAAAGTAGGATAACAATTCCGACAATAGATTTATACTTTTGATTTTTTCTTCACGGTTCTTGCGTGAACATCAGTAAAGGTTCTGATTCGGTAAATCTTTTGCCTGAATCTCGGATTATGGTATGACCGAAATAAACAAAACAATTTTATGTATTTACTTAAACAAGAATGTTAGGTCTCATCAAATATTGATATCCACAAGAATAAATTCCAATAGCCCCATGATAGTTTTTGGCTAAAAAATAAATAAATAAATACTTGTAATCTTTAACCATTGACTTGAAATCTAATAAAAAAGCCCTGTAATCTATTTGTTTTGGTCATTCATTCCTAATATCGAAGTTTGTATCACGAACCCCGCAATATTCAAATTGACAGGACTAACACAACATTCCATAAATGGACCGACGTAACTTTAAAAAATTATATTTTTTCAACAATACTCTCTATTGTCCCTTCTTAAAGTGGGTTGCTTATAGTAATTTGTTGTGCGTGTCTATTTACCTCGTAAACATTTGTGTAATTATTATTATTATTATTTTGAGTAAATAAAATAAAGAACGCCCTTTGAGAAAAAGTGTAACGTGATGGAGATTGAAAAATATATTAAAATGATTTATTAATAACCAAATGGACTTAATAATTTCCATCTCCGTCCTTTATTTGGTCCACACCCAAGTCAATAGAATCTAATTTACTTATTAGGTATCCTTTAAATCTTAAATTAATAAAACTAATCTCGTTAAATTTAATCTTCTTTTCTCGATTTGTTTAATTTTCAATCCCTTAGAAAATTAAATTAACATTTTGCGGAGTACATTACATTACATGATGATTAATTATTTAAACTTACTTTTGACAGCTAATTTTACCAAGGATTAAGTTTGGTTTTAAATTGGCAAAGAATTTCGCAATTTTAGTCCTGGAGAATGTTTTAATAATATGTAATTCGTTTTATTTGTTTAGTTCCCTGAACTAATAAAGAAAATTAGGATAATTTATTTTTCATTACAATTACATAATTAATTTACTGTTTACTTATTTATCTTAAAAAAAGGGGGAACTAGTTTTTTTTTCTCTTGATATAGATGAGGTATCACATTTATCACTTATGTATATTATTATTCTTTTCTTTTTTTATTCGAAAAATAGTTTTGATGTCATCATCTTAATTAAAGTATATTTGGTGTAACCCCCCTCCTACAAAAGTGTCGAGGTGTCAAAGAAAACCTTCCCGTTACACCGTGTCAATATCAAGTCCTTCGCGACCCGAAAAGAATGTGATTTTCAAATATAAATCTCTTTGAATTTTTTACTATTATTTCAGAATAAACAAATTTATGCAGTTCTTGAATGAAAAGACAATAGCGTTTTAACCGTATAGATATTTCAAGTTGAAAAAATTGTGATTTTTTTTTAATAAAGGGAAAACAATAGAAAATAATGCAACTTTGCACTAAAACTTATTTGTCATTGATAAATATTTAGATTTCCAAAATTCGCAAAAAGGAATTTTCAGGTGAAATAATATTTTTGAACAATAACCATTTTTTTCAAAAAAAAATTTATTCTTTATATGTTAATTACCTCTAACGTACTTTGTAAAAATGTTCTCAACTAATATCAAGCAACAATATGATACAATATCAAATGATTCATAACATTGTGATTTTTAACGCTTTTCACTGTTTATCCTGGAATAAAAAAATTCCCCAGGTTTTAAATTTACCGAAATTGGGTGTTGCATGGAAATTGGGACAATTAAGAAAAATTTTCTTACCATAACATAACCCTTTCGCGATCACAAAACAATAAATAAAATTATTCGATTTTATAATGAGAAACCTTATCGGGATTTTGTAACTCGGTAAACTATTTTTGAAATCCAGATCAAAATGAATTTTTTTATACTAATCTTATTGTGTTATTGTTCAAAGTAAAATTGTACATCATAATGAATTGCATTCATCCATTGCTTCATTAACTTCATTAACTATGGTTAGTCATTTTTTTTTTTTTGGCCTGTTAAAAAAAAATTGAAAAAAAATTTTTATTTATTTTATTTAATATTTAATACATTGTAATATCAATAACTCCAATTATTAAATTCATTATATAAATACAATTAACTATTTAAATTAACCAATAATAGATTAACTATATAACATTAGATTATAAATAAATTAATATAATTATTAATTCAATAATTAAAATGTTTTAAAATTACTACAAATTCTAACATAATAAAAAATTATGATGAATTAAAATTGTAATATTAGCGTTAGATTTTAATTTTTAAATTTAATATATTAAATTTTGAATTATTTATTTAATTGATATAATTTTATTTAATTAAATTTTTAATTAAAAATATTAATATTGATTGATTCTATTATTAATAATTATTAATATAATTCATTTATATAAAATACTCTTTAAATTTAAATTTATAAAAATATCTGTAATTTGTAAAAATACATAGAAATTTATAATTTTCAACATTTGCATTTTATAAATGTATTTATAATATCTTTATTATAAAGAATTAATAAAAAAAAGGTTAAATTGATTAAATATATTATTTTTATTAAATAATTAGTAATAATATTTAATTTATATATATTACTTTAAACTTTTCCTTATACATAAGATTTAAATATAATATATTAAAATTAAATATTATATTTATTTTAAAATTTTTTTAAAAAGTGGATTTTGACTTTTATATAAAAAATATTTTATTATAAATAATAAATTTTTATTAAAAGAAGTGTAATGCTCTTATTTTTATGCATTCGCATAAATTGTAAGATATATATTATATATATAAAACTTTGAAATTTTGAAATTTTATGCATTGGTAAAAAATTTAATTAAAATAAATTCATACATACATTTAATGTAAGCATTCCTTCCAATACATAAAATAAAATAATATTTTCTATATTAAACCTATTAAAATACTACAAATATTTATTTAATAAAATATTAAGGATACATAATATTAAATTATTAAAAATATAAGTAAGCAACCAAAGGAAGCTACTACTATAATTCAAACCACTATTATAACTTGAATTATAATAATGATTTGAGCATTAAACTATAATAATACATTTTATTTAGAATTTGATATATAAATTACGTGATTATATCCTATTATTGTATAATTTGTATTTATTTTGTTAAATTTTTTATTTTCAATAATTACATTAGATTTAAATAACTCTTAAGAATTTTTGAACTTTACAATTCTTGAAAATCTTCCTTTAGAATAGTTAATTATAGGATTTTCAAGTTGTTTAACATTCTTTTGATTAAGTACTGAGTAAATCAAATTTTGAAATTTACATATTATACTAATTCTAATGCTTTTGATTTTTTTTAGTAATAATTTATGATTTTATTTTTTCTTTAAAAATAATTTCTATTATTTCTTTAAGAATAATAAGAATAATTTTTATTATTTTTTTAGAAATAATTTGTATTGTTCTTTTTAGAATGATTTCTAACATCTCTTTAGAAATAATTTATATTATTTTTTTAAAAATAATCATTCATTTTTTTAGGATAATTGTATTACTCTGTTTAGAATAATTTCTAATATTTCTTTAGAGATGATTATTCATTTCTTTTAAGATAATTTGTATTATTCATTTAAGGATGATTATTTACTTCTTTTAAGACAATTTGTATTATTTCTTTAGAAATGATTGTTCATTTTTTTTAAAATAATTT